ACTCCTACCCCTATGTGAGCACATGGGAAAAGCAAATGCCCTGTACCCCCAGCAGGACCTCTGCTTGTCCCAGGGGAAGCGGAGCGGGAATTGCAGCCTGGCCGGGCCTGGAGCCACGCGGAGCGCGGCCGCGTCCCAGCGGGTCTCCCGGCCCCGGGAAGCGGCGCCGAGGCGGGGAGGAGGCCGGAGGGCAGGCGAGGCCGTGGGAACGGGCTGGCTCCGCGTGTCACGAGGGGGCCAGGGCTCAGCCCCTCAGCCTGCAGCAGCCCCGCGAGGCGCCGGGATGGCAGCGGGAAGGGTCTCCATGCGGGGGGAGCTCCCGGGAACGCTCGGCAGCTCCAGAGGCACCCGGAGCCGGATGGTCCCTGGACAAGCCCCCCCAGCGCAGCACCCAGCAGCAGGACCCAGCACCGGAGCAGGATGAGGTCCTGCCAGCAGGTGGCAGCAGGGGGACACTGGGGACACGGGGACAGTGTCCTGCCAGCGCAGGCTCTCGCTCCCCTCCATCCCCCTGCCAGCCCCAGGGAGGATTCCCTTGTTCCTCCCCTGGGGACCCAGGAAGGGCTGGGAGGAAGTGGGCAGCCCCTTCGGCACCTCCAATAAACTTCAAAACGGGGTGTTTTGGCATTTTCCCCCTTTTTTTTCCTCTGTATTTTGGGCAGCACAGGCTGTACCGGCGCAGGGGAAGATGCGATTCCCGCGGCTCCGCGAGAGCCGGTGACGAATCCCCATCCGGCAGCGCGGGATCGAGCCTGGACCGGGGGCACCCCCGGGGTCCGAACCCCCATCTCAGAGTCCACCCGGACCCTGGGTTGGAGCAGCTGCCCCCACAGTGGGGAGCTCGGTGGCCCCGGGGACCGGGGCTGGTGTCAGCCCTGGCCGTGGGGCGCTCCAGACTTGCTCAATGTGCAGCAACATCCTGTGTTTACCTGCCCGGCTGCAACGCCGCAGCGAGGGGAGGAAGAGGAGGGCAGGAGCCTCTTCCTCTTCCGCTGCAGCCTGGGCGCATTTTAAGGAGGCGATTCCCGATCCTGGGCCCCGGAGCCGTGGGGCTGCACGGGGTTGTTTCCGCTTCCAGTGTTTCGGAGAAGCCACGGGGATGCAGGATAAACTGGGTTTAACCGGGATAAACAACAGCCAAGGTGGGAGCTCCTGCCTTGGGCCAGCCCCTTGGTGCTCGGTCTCCCGGAGTGAAATCACCCCTAAAGCAAGGGGGTCCTTTGGTGTCCCCAAAGCTTCGGGGGAGCAACTAAGCTCAGATCCACAGGGAAGGGCAGAGATGGAGCAGCGCAGCCCCAAGCAGCCCCATTGCAGGTGTTTTTGATACGTGGGCCTGGATGCACCTCCTGGAAAAGGGGAAAACACCACTTTGGTGGAGCCATCCTAGACACAAGGAGCGGGAGATGCTGCCGCTGGGACATGGACACCGAGCGTCTCCCGTGGGGCTTGCAGGCCCCGTTTGGGGTTGCCCGACGCGTGCGGTGCTGGCGCCCGGCTCTGGGCACGGGCACCCCTTCCGTGCCAGCGCAGGGCTGCGATGGAGGTTCCTGCAGGGAACCAGCGCTGGAAACACCGAGTTACCCCAAGGCAGCAGCAGCTGAACTCCATCGGCTCCCTATAAAGGGAGATGGGAACCACCAGCTGGGCTGGTTTGGCGATGGGAAGGGATGCTCAGGGCTGAGTCTGTGGCTTGGTGCTCTCTCCTGGGGTCCTGCAGCATCTGGGATCTCTTCCTTTTGCAGTTTTCCCTTTGTCCCTGAGAAGTGCAGGGGGAAAATTGGGAAAAATAAAACCTCACACTGTCCTTAATGCTCCAAAGAGCAGGATGGAGGCCGGCTGTCTGTACGGTGCTTCCCTCTGTGTGAGCTGGAGCTGAGCTCCATGGATTTGCCTGGAGCAGATGCTCCCTGCCTGGCTGGAAGCAGCCTGTGGTGGCTCTTGTGCTCTCTGTGCACATCCTGCACGTTGGCCTGGTCTTGGGGTCACTCTGAGACCTGCTGCTGCCCTTAGGTAAGGGTTAACCCTAAATCTGCTTTAAACTGTGTGTGGGATCCTGTTGTGCTGCTTGAGAATGTCTTGAAATGCCTCCAGCTGCAGCTGCTGGGCTCTCACCTAGGAGCGAGCCTAAGAGGGAATTAAGAGATGATCAACAGCTCGGGCATCTGGTCTCCAGCCTTGCCCTGTGAGTCAGAGAGGTGCTGAGCCCCTGCAGTCCCTCATTTGGGTGGGTTTGGGGCCACAGCAGGCACCGGAGCTGGGATTTCTCCATCGCTTCTCATGGGTCCCTTTGGAGCAGCCGAGTTTGGAAAGTCCCAGCGCTGGGGAGGACAGGGCTCAGCACCGCCTGCTTCTGCAGGGCATCATGAGGCTCCTCTGCAGCGGCACCCGCCAGCTCCAAAGCAGCTGCAGGGCTGGGGTGCAGGAATTGCAGAGAGGAAATCTCTGCTCCTGGAGCCTCCGGGCTGAGGCAACAAGCCCCGGGCAGCGGGAGAGCACTGCAGTTTGCTAAAAAACCTCAGTTTGGGGAAAGCAGCAGCTTACTCAGGTTCCGAGCCAGCCTGGTAGCCGAGCAGAAGCTTCCCCCAACGAGGACATCTGTTATTTTTCTAGGATTTGAAAAGAGAGGAGGAAAAAAAATAAAAAAGGAAAGAACCACCAGGAAGCCCCGTGTAGGTGCGGGGACGCTGCTGTCGCGGCAGTGACTCAGGGCGACGTCGGGTTTCCGAGAACGGGGAGGGTTTGGGCTGAGACGGCACCGATGGCTCGCGGGGGTGGCGGGGGCAGCGCTCCCCGCACGGCCCCGCAAAGGAGTTTATTAATAACCGTTAAAGGCAGCGCTTGCGTCGTGCCGAGGCCTCTGCGCTTCCTCCTGTAGGATGCGGTGGCCTCTCCGGTGGGTGCAAATTCCTGCAAAAAAAAGGGAAAAAAAGGGGACTCTGTGCAGCGGGTTTTGTGGCCTTTGCAGGGCAGGTGGAGTGAGTGAGCTGGGAGAGAGGAAGAGGAGGAGGAGGCTGCTGGCTCGTTGTTCCCTGTGGGAGGATGTGCGTGTTCCCGCATCCCCGGTCCATCCCAGAGGAGGGAGCCGGGCGGCTGGAGCGGGGCCCGCTGCGATAATTCACATGATGCCGGATGCGCCATGAAATCGGACAGGATCCGGGCGCTTTGCTCCTCTTGAAGCCGCCTATTCAGGAGAGAGACGAGGAGGACAAGGGGGAGGAAGCCGAGGGAAGCCGGAGCACTGAAGGCTTCTGTTTGCTGCCGCCGACGGATGCAGGTGCAGCCGCCGAGGCCCTGGATGCTTTGAGTGCTTTGAGCCGCCTTTTCCTGAGGGGGAAGCGGAGCCGCAGGCAGAGGGATGGCCCCGGCCTCGGGTCGCCCCTCTCGGACGTGTCCCCGCTGCCACCGAGGTGTCCGGGGTGTCCTGGGCTGCTGACTCGAGGTGACAGCCCCGAGTGGAGCCTCTGGAGCCTCGTGCAGGGTTGAGCTCTCCCTCCAGGCTGCCCCGTGCTCAAGCCCTTGGCCTCGTTGCCTTCCCTCCCATAGCTGCCCGTCGCCAGGAAACACTTAGAAATCAAGCTGATTTTTTTGTTTGTGCTTTTTTTTTGTGTGTGTGTGTGTGTGTTTTTGTGTGTATTTTTGTTGGTTTTTTGGGGTTTTTTGGTCAAACCTCTGCCTGGCCTGTTGCCAACTTAGAAATTGGCCAGCAGCCTCAAAGGTCACCGGGAAGCATTTACATGTGCAGCCGCCTGGCGCTACCTACGCAGGGCCATTGCATCTGCTTGTTTCTTTTTTTTATACAGAAAATAAGCTAAAAAAAGCTGCTGCCGTCACTTGTGGCACAGCCCTGTCTTGCGCCGTGTTCCTGCATGGGGGCTTTTCCTGTGCGAGAGGAAAGAGCGAGCGACTTCAGGATGCCCCAAGAAAGCTGATGGATTCTTCGCTTTTCCTCGGCCAGATTGTCCATTCTGACACATCAGCTTTGGAAATGCAGGGTAATTTTGCCAAGGCTTTTCCAGGTATCTGCCTGTGTGGACGAGACCAGGATCTGGCCTGACTTCTTTAAAGAAACACAGCCAGGTCACTTAGCTCCAAGATGCATGGGGAGGTTTTGTGCTGTCTGCTGCTCCTGGCTGACATTATAAGCAGTGTTCGTGCAGGGCATTTCTTCATTTAAAATGAAGAATTTCCTTTTATTCTCAAAAATGCTCCTGTAGCGTTGGCAACTATGGGGTGTCATCCAGTGAAAGAGCTCCTGAGCCCCTGGGAGCTGATCTATGTAAGCCATATGGGTGCACATAGAGGCACTTGCCGTACCTGTCTATACAGTAAAATATTTTGTTCTATGTCTGTGTTTGTATTGACACAAAATAGCTCACAGAGAGGAACCTTCTGGCTCATAAACCACTGCGGTGTGTGTTGAAATGTCCCGGCGCAGGATGGGCATGGAGCATCCCTGAGCCTCGGAGCCTTCATTAGACTCCAGGGTGCACAAGATGCCGGGCAGCGGAGCGCCGCTTTCCAAGGGGAGCGGTGGTCCCACTGGGATGCAGCATGCGGCTGCTCAAGGAAAAGAATTGGATATGGGGACAGATGGGGATTTTCTTGTCTTATTCTCCTAGATCCGCCCCCAGTCTGAGCTCGGACGCTCCCGAATTGGATGCGTATCCAAAGACGCCTTTTGCAGCACCTGCGGATGTTGGGAGCTCCGGTTTCCAGACTCCCTCCCGGCGCTGGCCTCGCCGCGAACCGGGAAGCCCTGCCCGGAGGTCGGAACCGGAGCCGCCTGTTTCCTTCTCATGATTCCCAGGTGCAAGCTGCAAAAGCCGAGGCAGACCCGCTCCGTACGGAACGCCTCTCGGGAAGCACTGCACAGGGAATAACGCAGAGCAACGGGCGCTTGCCTGGAAGCCGCTCAGTTTCTTGGAGGGTCAGATTGGTGGCTTTGGCAGAGGGATATCGGATTTTAACACATGAGACTCCGGTTTATTTGGCTTTTGCTCTTACTGGTCAAGTTGTTCAGCTTCTGCATCTCAGTTTTTGACACAGCTAAAACCCGTCACGGATGTGTCGTGGTTTGCACCCCCGACCCCAGCGCTCGGAGTGACGTGCGAGCAGAAAGAGGCTTCCTGCGGCACGGAGGAAACTCACTGTCTTTAGCAAGTTGCTTTGCAATTATTTCTGAGTAAGGTTGCGGCTATTGCGGTTTGTGCCCCAGAAAAAGCCGGACTGAGCACAGCCAGTTCCCAGCAGCGCTGATGTTCACCTTTCATGTTCTCTGATCACAAATGTTTGATTTGAAAGATCAGAAGAGAACACGTTCCTTTGACTTCCTCTAATGTTTGCAAGGTCAGGGAGCAAATCCTGCCACTCTCCACTTTGTTCAGTTTGTAAGAACGTGGAAGCTCGTGGGAGTATTAATTATGGCCAATTATAACCTGCTTGACCAGCCACGGTGCTCAAGTGGCTGCTGAAACTTGCTCTCCTAGAAGAAGGGGATTTTTCTCCTAGGCTGATCTCCACCAAGGGAGCCTTATGGTTTCGAGGAGCTTCTTGCCTGCGGTGCTGTGCAGTCCGTATTTGCTTTCTGAAGTCCTGGTGCCTCGTCTGGAACCTCCTCCAGCCCAGCTGGTGACTTTTTTCATCTGCTTGTTGATTACCTAGGGGCCATGTATTTACAGCTCTGCACAGTTATTTAGTCTTTGCATTATGAAAACACCTGGGAAGCCCTGCCAAGGACGAGATTTTTTTTTCATGGTAGCTCAGCAGCGGCAAACGAGGAGTTGTGACC